TACTTTCCTTTGCATATCCATGGGGGAGGATAGGCAAAGGGAACAAGCCTTCTTGGAGACACACAGCTTCATGGCTCCTGCGAACTAGCCATTTTGGGGAAACAGAATTGAAGATCTCCCACTGATAATTTGGCCTCCAGCACACAAAACTCACATGGTAGGAGAGGCAAAGGGAACAGGCCTTCTTGAAAACACACAGCTTCATGGCTCCTGCGAACTAGCCATTTTGGGAAAACAGAATTGAAGATCTCCCACTGATAATTTGGCCTAAATTGCTACTGAAAGTAGTTAGATTACTTATGATATGGTGTGATCAACAAAATGTTGGGGGAAAAAGAATTGAAGACAACTGTATATAGCAGAGATAGTGTAATAAGAGAGTGGGAAAGGGCAGAGGGTCAAACATGGGTCAAAACATGTATATACATATACATATATATGAAAGCAGAAATGGAATATTATTGATGATAACATGCATGATTAAGCCACTATGCAGTTTATTCTAGATGGGAAACCACATTTAATATGTTGTGATGATGCTCAGGGAATGAATGTAAATTAAGTTACCAAAAAAAAAAAAAGTTTCAGAAAAAAACAGTCCATTTGATGACCGCAGTAAGATATATAGCCCCAGCTAGGTGCTACTTTATAGGATGCCTAAAGTTAGACTTGTGTTCATGGAAATGTATATATCAGCTGTGTTTGCTATGAAAATATTTAGATTAATTAAGATCTTTAGTAATTCAATAAAAAATGGGGGGGGGACAGTAAAAATATAAAAGAAAGACTGTATGCAAATACATAAAAAACCCTGAGCAACATATTTTAAAGTATAAGAAAGTATTAGTTAATATGCTCCAGAACTTTACAGTAATGGTTACAGAGTTCTTATCATATGAAAACATTTTGGATCTTATCCAAGGGAATATTTTGGATTGTGTCCAAGGGAATTCTATCTAATATAGCTACTCACAGTAGCAATTATCACCAAGTGATCCTTACACCGTGCAAGAGTCTATAAAAGGAATAAGGTGTCCATAGAATCTCAGAGGGAAAAGGAACCTGAGAGATGATTTATTTCAACTCTTTCAATATATGGATGAGTAAATAGGGCCCAAAATGTGAAACCATAGGCATTCCAGGAAGGTGGAATGAATACTATGCCTTATTTCTCTGGGTAAACTTATGCATGGGAAATACAACTTCTGGGAGTCTGAGTTAAAAATTCTGTTGTGGCTTGCCCCATAATACAGTATCTGAGTGCTGCTTGGAGGGAGTCGGTTCTCACATGGCCAACCATGGTTTGAGTCCTGACCCTGGAGGCTCAAACACGCTGAGGGCATGTGCATTGTACCCCAAATCCTGACAGGATGGAGAAACAAAGGACAAGGGATTGGAGCTTGTCCATGCCCCAATGCGGGGGATGATTTTTCCCCCCTCTCTCTCTCTAGCAAGGGCATGTGCCTTCTGTAATAATAATAATAACAACGACAAAAAAATAGAGACCAGCAGATGGCGTGGTGGTTAAGGTGCTGGACTCCCACCTGGTTGACCACAGTTTGAGTCTTGGACCAGATGGCTTGAAAATCATTTCAGGTAAACACGTGTGTGTGCTCAAAATCCTAAGAAGAGACTGGATTGTGACATAGTCATCCCCCGCCCAGGGGGTGGTTTCTTACTTTCCCTTTCTCTCTCTCCAGCAAGCACTTGTGCCCTATGGCAAAAACCTAAAAAATAAAAATAAATACACACATAAATAAAATAAGCATAAAAGTTCTATCAGCCTGATTGTATCAGTCAGCTTAGGCTGTTATGTTTTAGTAACAAATTTCCCCTAACCTTGTGACTTACAACCATGATTTATTGCTGGCTTATTCTGTGGCTCTCCTGATGGTATCTTCCCTCTGGGGGCAAGCTGACAGCGCACCCCTGTTGCTGGCTGACACAAGAGTGAAGCGATCATTGCGAATCAAGTACTCGCTCTTAAGGCTTTAGCTTAAAGTCACATGAGCCTGACATCAAAGAGCTGGAAAGTACAATGAGCTCCCCTGGCAGGGGCCTCCCTGCAGTGAGGAGTGGCAAGTGTCTGAACCACAAGGCGGTGGTGCGCAGACGCGCAGGGAGCGAGCTGTGGAACTCCGTGGGACTCCAAGTTGCCCTTGGTCTGCCCAAAGCCTACCTGCCAATCAGCATTGGAGCTCAGCAGCTCACAAACCCAGCCCATGATCCTCCTCCTCTTTGGAATGATTTACTGACATCTTCCCTTCCACATTTATGCTCAATGAACCATTCCTTGAAAAGTGATCAGTCAGCTTATTCTCCTTGCCAGTGAGAAGGACTATTTTCCTTTTTTCTCTTCTCTTCTCTTCTCTTCTCTTCTCTTCTCTTCTCTTCTCTTCTCTTCTCTTCTCTTCTCTTCCTTTTTTCTTTTCTTTCTTTAAAGAAATTTTTACTATGGGACATGTGCACTCACCAGAGAGACAGAGACAGAGAGACAAAAAGCAAGAAATCTGCCCTTCCCCCCAGGGTCAATGACTACACCACATTCTTTTCTCCTCCATTCTCCTCTTGGGATCTTGGGCACACATGTACATGCACCCAGTGTGTGTTTTAAGTCACCAGGTCCGGGACTTGAACTGTGGTCGACTATGTGGGAGTCCAGTGATACAACCATTAAGCCATCTGCTGGTCCCAAGAAGGATTATTTTTCTAAGGCTCATCATCTCTTTCTCACTCCATGTATATAAGCATGTCCATAGATAATATAGACACTCAGATTCATAGGCATTTTTTGGGTAAGAGTCACTCTAAATTGCCATTGCAGCGTTCAGTGTGATTGATATTTTATACTACATGCTAGAAAGCCTCATCACTTGTGTCCTAAATCAACTGTTGCAATCTTACATGTTTTATTTGTGATGGGAAACTTCCATCATGAACATTTTTCTTTTTCTGGCAGAAATTATCTTTAAACATATGTAGATTCCATGACCAGTTCTAGAACTCTCCCATAATTTCCTTATTCATTCCTGAATTAGGCTGGGAGGCGGCAAGATGGATGAGATAAT